TCGACGAGGTGCTTTGCGAGTTTTGCCCAAAATGTGAACAAAGTCACCAGCAAACTGTAAGCAGAACACCATTGCAGGAAACGTGTAGACACACACAGACAGAGAGAGACAGAGAGAGAGAGAGAGACACACACACACACACGCACACACAGAGACACACACACACACACACACAGACACACACACACACACACAGAGACACACACACACAGACAGAGACACAGAGAGAGAGAGAGAGACACACACACACACACGCACAGATAGATATATATATACATACATATATATATATATATATATTTATTTATTTATATTTATTTATTTATGTCTATAACATACATACATACATACATACATACATACATACATACATACATACATACATACATACATACATACATACATACATACATACATACATACATACATACATACATACATACATACATACACACATACACACATACACACATACACACATACACACACATACATACATACATACATACATACATACATACATACATACATACATACATACATACATACATACATACATACATACTTACTTACATACATATATACACACATACACACATACATACAAGCACGTACGCACGGAGGCATGTACGCACGCAGGCACGCACGCACGCAGGCACGCGCGCACGCACACGCACGCGCGGGCGGGCGCGCGCATGGGGACCACATGGTAGCATCTAGCAACATCGAGCTTTCTGCAACATGTCCGGACCTGGCTCTTGCCCCACCAGCCAAAGAGTCGACGGCCGACCTTCCAGGCTTCTAGGCTCAAGTTCCTAGTTGTGCAACAGCGACCCTAAACCCCAAACCCTAAACCCCAAACCCCAAACCCTAAACCCTAAACCCCAAACCCTAAACTCAAATCTTTCACCAGGACCACTCCCTGAAGAGGCCCAGCGCCTCGGAGCCCTAAACCCTGAACCGTAAAACCCTGAACCCTGAACCCTGAACCCTAAACCCTAAACCCCAAACCCTGAACCCTAAACCCTAAACCCTAAACCCTGAACCCTAAACCCTGACCCAACTCTAAACCAACACTAAACCCTAAACCCTAAACCCTGAACCCTAAACCCTAAACCTTAAGCAGCGCCTCGGAGTAGATCCGCACTTCCGACTTGGTTGCGACGGCGAGACGTCCGTCCGGCGACCACGCCAAGCCCCGGACCGGTACGTAGAAATCGCCTCCCCAAGCGCATTTCTAAGGGTTTAGGGTTTAGGGTTTAGGGTGTAGAAATCGCCTCCCAGCGTGCGCTGCAGCTGCATTCCCTGATCAGGGAGGGCAGGAGGGGGGGGGCGAGGGGGAGAAAGGGGAGGGGGAAGGGGGGAAGGGGAGGGAGGAAGGGGGGGAAGAGGAGGGGGTCTCGTCGACAGGAAGTTCGTGTGAAACGCGCTGTATACACGTGCGTGCGTCTCAACAACAGGCTCTGCTGAAAGCCTTTGGCTTTTCAATGAAACCCGACTCGTACTCTCCCTCATGCAAGAAGCGGTTTGGCCTTCTTCAGGTCCTCAACGATCCCCGAAACCCACAACGCATCAAGGAACAGGTGGGCCATGGGGTTTAGGGTTTTGGGGTTTGGGGTTTAGGGTTTAGGGTTTAGGGTTAGCTGAGGCTCTGGGCCTGGGAGTAGACGTACACCTTGTTTGTGTCACTGGCGGCAAAGCGGCCGTCCGCCGACCATGCAACCGAAACGAGAGAGAGCTTACCGAAGCCGGTCAGAGTGCGTTTCAGCTGCATCTCCTGGTGGGGCCCAACTCTGGAGAATGTGTTCTTTGTCGCCTTTGGCCCAGGAGCCCGAACCTATTGCGTTTGAGATCCCTGAATCCCATCTCCCGTTATTTGCAACTGACAGGGAATCCGACACCGTACTTCTAAACACGGGGGTGGAAGCCTCAGCAACAGCGTTTGGGTTGGCAAGCAGACCCAGATCGTGCACGACCTCATGAACCAATCGGAATAATTACCTGATCATTCCTCAGGTCCTCAACATCTGAACCCCTGAAACCCTCAAAGCATCACAGAACCTAACCTTCACTTCTGCAACACGACTTTGCCCCACTGAGCCCTACTTCCGCGTCGAAATCCGACTGAGGCCGCGGGCCTTAGAGTAGATGTAGAGTTTGTCGAGGTCTCCGAAGGCGAGGCGGCCGTCCGCCGACCACGCGGCATCAGAGACAAGAGATCCATGAAACGTGTGCTCCAGCCGCATAGCCTGGGGGCGGGGGAGAAGAATATTCGGACAATAACGAAGAGGGTGGGGGGGAGGGGGAGAGAGGGGGGGAAGGGGGAAGAGAAGAGGGGGGAAGAGAAGAGGGGGAGAAGGGTGGGGGGGGTGGAGGGGGAGGCGAAGGGGGGGGGGGGGGGGGGGGGGAGTGGGTGGGCGAGACTTGTGAGGGACCCAGAGTGCACTCCCTTCGCGCCAACCCAAGCCCCTGACCCTGCCTCCTGGCTTGCCAACCAAGGTTTTGTGTCTGTGTCTGTTCCTGGCCCGGCCATCCCTGGCCTTAGCCCCTTCGCCCCAACCCAAGCTGTCTTCGCTGACCCTGCCTCGCCTTTCCGAATGTGCATCGCAAATGCCCTGGTCCACGCACCTTGTGGAGGTCCCCAAAAGGGCGTGAGTGCTGACTCATATGACGCTTCGTAAAAAAATAAAGAGTCTTAACTCCTTTCAGTTGTAAGTGGGCGGTCTTGGGGTGGGTAGGTCTGCAGACTACCGCGCGCTCCCAAAGCGCGCTTCCGTTTGGCACACCCTAAACCCTAAACCCTAAACCCTAAACCCTAAACCCTAGACCCGAAAGTTTGAGCCCGAAACGTTACCCTTGGACTGGTGCCTCCCTAGGTCAAACCCTAAACCCCTAAACCCAAAACCCTAAACCCCTAAACCCCTAAAGCCCTAAACCCCTAAACCCCTAAACCCGTAAACCCCTAAACCCCTAAACCCCTAAACCCTAAACCCTAAACCCTAAACCCTAAACCTGAGCTGCACTTTCCTCACTGCACACCCATTTTCACACTAAACCCTAAATCCCAAATCCCAAACCTTAAACCTTTAACTCTTAACCCTAAAAGCTAAATCCCTAATCCTAGGCCTAAACGCTAAACCTTAAACCCTAAACCATAGCGCCTTCAAATTGGCGACTTGTTCGTTCATCTTCGTCATGTCTTCCTGTGCATTCACCGTTCGTTTAGGTCTTAGGCTGTCGGCTTTAAGCATTTGGCTTCAAGTGTCAGGTTTTAGGTTTTAAGGTTTCGGGTTTGGGGTTTAAGGCGCATGGTTTAGGGTTTAGGGTTTAACGATTGGGATTGGGGGTTTGGGGTTCACCGCTGTTCATGTCTTCCTTGAAGTCGTCCGCGTGTCGCTCGACTTCGTGGGCATTTGTCGCCTGCAGTGTCGTGGGCGGCTGTCTTCATACAACAAATTTAGCGTTTAGCGCTTAAGGCTTACAGTCCAAGGTTTAGGGTTTAGGGTTCAGGGCTTAGGGTTCAAAGTCTAGGGGTTTAGGGTTTAGGGCTTAGGGTTTTGGGCTCAGGGTTTTCGGCTTAAGGTTCAGAGTCCAGGGCTTAGGGCTTAGAGTTCAGGTTCAATTTCTTGCATTCCAGCTTGAGGATGTAGGTAGGCCATAGGCTTCTGAAAATGAATACAGCACAACACAAGGCACTGAGCAGAACAAATCACCACGCTGGACCCTAAACCTGAAGCCCGACACCCCAAACCCTAAGACTTAATCATAAATCCTATATAACCCTAAACCGCAATCCATCCCATAACCCTAAACCCTAAACACTTTCACACCACTTGATCAAGGGCCCTAACACAACAAATACAATAGCGCAAGAAACTTCTTCCAAGCTGCACAAATGAAGGTTACTGGAGAGAACCAAAAGGACCAGAGTACCGGAGGACCATGGGGCCAAAGGATCAGAAGACCTACTGCTTCTACAACGAAAATGTAACAAGCAAAGCGGTCAACGCTCCACAGGTTTTCAGTTTCCAGAGCCTCAACAGACTTCAGGGCCTCTGGCGGCAACGGGCGCAAGATTGGGGCCCCAAGCAACATGCAACAAACTGGATTTTACAAACTGCATGAATTAAAGCTCTAGCCTATGGGACTAGGTTGGTCCTGCGCGAGGGACAAGCAAACTTCTGAACACTGTACCTTAAACTCACAACCCTTGAACCCTAAACCCTTCAACCCTAAACACCCTAAAAAGCAACCCTAAACCCTAAACGCCCCAAACCCTAAGGCCCTAAACCCTTCAACCCTGAACCCCCAAACACAACGCTACACCCTAAACACCCCAAACCCTGAAGCCCTAAAGCCCTAAACCCTTCAACCCTAAACACCCCAAACACAACCCTAAACCCTAAACACCCCAAACCCTAAAGCCCTAAACCCTTCAACCCTAAACACCCCAAACACAACCCTAAACCCTAAACACCCCAAACCCTAAAGCCCTAAACCCTTCAACCCTAAACACCCCAAACACAACCCTAAACCCAAAACACCCCAAACCATAAACCCTTCCAAACCAAAACAGGCCGCTGCGCTGGAAACCCTAAACCCTAAACCCTAAACCTAAAACCCCTAAACTGAAACCGAGACAGGTCGCCGTGCTGGAAACCCTAAAAACCCTAAAACCCCTAAACTGAAACCGAAACAGGTCGCCGTGCTGGACTGCAGGAGGAAGATCTTGGAGCGGGTAGCGACGAAGGTGGATAGCGCTGGGAGCAAAGCGGGCCCTTTGAGGTTCGCTCCTTTTTAGGGAGTTTAAGGATTTTAAGGATTTTAAGGATTTTAGGGTTTAGGGATTTTAGGGTTTAGGGATTTTAGGGTTTATGGGATAGCGCTGGGAGCAAAGCGACCCTTTGAGGTTCGCTCCTTTTCAAAGGTCTAAACACCCTATACACCCTAAACCCTGGTATCCCTAAACCCTAAACCCTAAAGGCTAAACCCTAAACCCTACAATAAAGGTTTAAGATCTTTAGTAGTGTAGAGTTCAGAGGTTTTGAATTTAGGGCTGGGGTTGGCACGGCGGGCCTTTGGAGATTCGCTTCTTTTGGGTTTCAAGGTCTTTACGGGTTCAGGGTCATTCAGGCTCTGTTTAGGGTTTAGGGTTTAGGCTTAAGGTTTAGGTTTTTAGCGAATTTTTGGATTGTGCTTAATGATTTTGGGTTTTGGGTTGTTGTGTTTTGTGAGGGACTTGGGGTCAAACGGTGCTAGGGCTTTGGCGTTAAGGAACATTATTGTTCAAACTTTCGCTCCTTTGAGATCTCTGATGTAAGTGCTCAGCGAATCTGCATCGAAGCGGTTGCTCAACTTCTGGACCTCCGTCCATACAGGCTTGTGGCCACCTCCGAAGCCGGACACGCACAAGTTAGGATGCACCAAAGGGTCCCACAACAAACCCTAAGTGCACTCACCAAAACATGAATAAACACAACCCCTTCGGGGACCCTGCCTTCGAGGCCGGACACATAGAGATCGATGTCTTGCATTAAATCTTTTGTGCGTCCCACAGAATTTTTGGAATAGTGAGACTCCAACTGGTCGATCCTCGCCTTGGTTGTCTACAGGAGCACTTTGGAAAAACATCGTCCCCCTGCCCTAACAGCTGAAAATGCAGTTCCAACAACCCTAAATGTTGAGCCCTAAACCCTAACCCCAAACACCAAACCCCAAACCCCAAAACGTTAAACCCTAATCCGGAAGCCCTAACCTGAAAACCCCATACCAGAAATCCTAAAATTTAGGATTTTAAATCCTAAACCCTCGCAACAACATGTACTTCCAGCAACAATCCAAACGGCCATAATATCGTGGCTTGACTGAGTAATCTGACTTGCGATCTCACGTCTTGTAGAATCGAGCTTGTTCGCCAGCTCCGTAAAACCGCTCTCCTGGCGAGTCCAGCGCAAATGTTGTGAAACATGCTTACAAAGACCAAAACAACAAATGCTAAACCTTACACCTTAGACCAGTATCCCTAGCTCCTAAACCCTAACTCTAAACCCTAGACTCTAAAACCTAAACGCCTAAACTTATACCCTAACTAAACCCTAAATCCGAATTAATTCTTAAACCTAAACCCCAAACCGCGAAACCCTAAACCCTAAACCTCAACCCTAAACCCTAAACCCTAAACCCGCCCAAACCCGACAGCCTAAACGCAACCACAAGCCCTCTAAGTCAACGACTGCACGCTCAACTACCGACGCCAGAAATGCAGATGTCAGGCAAGTTGGGTTCGTATAGGCATTGGGGTTTGGTGGGACGCTTAGGGGTTTAGGGTTTTTAGGTTTAGGATGTAAGGTTTAGGGTTTAGGGTTTAGGATTTCGGGTTTAGGGTCTTGGGGGTCCATGGCGCTGCCGTCGTCGTCCCCTCCAAGCGCGCTCGAGGCTAAGTGGCCCACCAAAGCAGCAGGTCCTTTGGCTCACCATCGCAGGGTGTTTAGGGTTTAGGGTTAGGGTTTAGGGTTTAGGGTACGGGGGGACAACCAAAGGGGGAAAGGAAACCAGAAAATCAACCCCAATAATTGTCCTGAAATTATATCCCCCAGAACGAACCAAACCAAGACAGGGTTAAGGTTATTCAGGTACACCAAGGAGGAGGAGGGGCTTACCTTCAACCCGACCCCCAAACCCCAGCTCACACACCTTTTGAACGGACAGCAAGAGGCCATCCTTGAGCCAACGTATTACGGGGTACATTGACCCTTGCAACTTCAAGCCTGAAGTTCCTTTTGAACCTCCGCACTCCCCCTGTCCCTGACACTTCTGGGACATTTCAGGGAGGTTCCCTACTTGGCCAAAAACTGTCTCTCTGACAGCAGCCAAACACATGTTTAACGTCAATAGACGCGCCGTAGCCATTGGCTTGCAAATCATGGTTTTACGTCATCCAGGACGGTTGATAAACATTAATTTTTAGTCACCTCATTGGGCGCTCATTGCCTCATTGGGCAAAGTCTCTTCATCGTTGAGGATATTTTAACCCCTAACGAAGACCAGCGAACGGGTTCGGGACCTAACCTAAACCTTATAGTTCGCCTTCCATAGACCCATTGGTCTTTGACTTTGACGCATTGGTCACCTTGACTCATTGGTCACGTAATATTTCACAACCTTTTCATCGGTGTATCTTTGCCACATAGGCCACACCAGAAAAGATATGTTCTGACCGCCGAGGTGCGTTCCACCAGTTAACAACCAGTCCACCTCCTTTACAGCAGTCATCATTTTTCGCCAGACGTCCATCTTCACTAGCTCGATGCAGGCGCACCAAAACATCCTCCAAAGTTTCCATACTCACCAGCGGATCACCCAAGTACCTCTGAATTCAGGCAATAACCCCTTCTCTTCTCGCCACGCCACCAGTGTTCGACCCCTTGTTCTCCGCATTGGAGCCACAAGAACCACCTGGCGGTACTTTACCGCCTTTTGCAGTCCTGTTAGAGTCCACACCATTTTTCATGGCTTGATGCAGCAGGCGTACATTGACACCTTCCTCTTCGCTAGAGTCACCAGAAGACTCAGCATATGACACAAGGCCAAGTGGCTGATCATCATCCACCTGATCTGCCCACCGACTGAAACGAAAGCTCAGCCTGCCCTTTGTTGCGGGCAATGCAGAAGGCTCCCCAACCTTTTCTTGCGGCGCCGCCCGCCGCGTCGAATGTGCCCTAGGCACTTGAGCCACGTGCTTCCTATTCAACAGCATTCTCCCCCTTTCCGGAGGAAGCGACCATTGTCTAACAGCTGCACGAGGGACTTCCGGCGGCGGAACACCGATTCCCACCAACCTCAACTTTTGCACACACAGCGGAGCCCTTTGTTCCAGAGTCCAAACATCCCGAAATCGCCCGCGACCCAATACTTCCCGATAGGGCCCTCTTGGCATTTGCACCATGCCATCAGGTTGAGCCTCGCGGACCTCTGTCAGGGTTCTTGCCTGACTTGTGCCAGAACCATTTCCACGACCCCTAGAGTTCGCATCACCTGACTCATAGTCGGAGTGTAAACCCACACGCCATCCAAGATTCGACTGGCTCTTTGCCATCAATGATTGGCGCAGTATTCACAGCTCCTGTTGTGTCCGCCTGGACATCTCCATCCTGACCCATGGCACCCGAACTTGTTTCTACAGCGGTGACTGTTCCATTTGACACACTGGTCACCGCGTTTGCAGATGCCACACCAGCCGACGAAGAAGCAGCCCCACCGGTTTCCACAGCTACACTGTTTTGATTTGACACATTGGTCACAGTGTTTGCAGATGGCGCCCCTGACGATGAAGAGGCCGCCCCACCGGTTGCTCCAGATTGTCCAGTTGTACTAGAGCCTACATTGGGCATAGGGAAGTCCACCCTGTTCGGAACCTCACCACCCTTGTCCTGAACCCCTTTGATGCGGTTGGCCAGGTGCACTACGCGCTGCAAGGTAGCAAGCTTTTCAGAAGAGAGCTCGTCGTGACTGAAAGAACAGTAATAGCCCACTCTGCACCTCCGGCGCAGATGGTGGTCGAAGCACACTTTGTGCAATCCAGCTTCCCGAAGAGCCTGCCTTGAACCATCATCCCATCTTCTACCAGGATCCCGATGTCCTTCCACGGGAATGTCACGATCATGACTAAACCGGCAACCATCTCCATACTTGCACCATCCTTCGCGGTACTTCCAGCAAATTTGCTGTTCTTGCGCACCCTTGGAACCTCCTTTTCCGTAGTTGTATTTGTTGCGTGTTTCAGAGTCATCTCGTTCTTGTTGAGCTTCATCTACGACTCCTTCGTCCGCTGGAGGCCCATCAATGTCCCCATCATCAGTTACAGCTGCGCCGCTACTTGCTCCTTGAGATGGAGCACCATGAAACCACCCATCTCCTCGTGCGTCTGTGTTCAAATAAACGCGCGTCCCCATTGCGACAAGTGTTCTTCTCGAAGAACTTACAGACCTTGCGCTTGTACGAGGATTGAGTAACTTGTTGCTGCAGTTTTTCATACACCCTTTTGACCTTTTCCGGATTCAGGTACTCCTCTACAGGCCTTCGCTCAGCTCTTTCAGTAATATAGCCTGAAACACGCCCCTAACTTCCTTCAAAAAATGATCTGGATTGCTCCACCAGTAATGCCACCCACCGTGGTCAGCTTGGTCTAGTATCATTGTAACTAGACGAGACGCAGTCTCCGCATTGAATTTTTCTTCCGCCCTTACCAAGGAGAACAAATCGTCATGATAAAGTTGCCGATCATAGGCCCCCTTCGGCCAACCATCCATACCATGCACCTCAGGATCCCATTTTTTCTGCCAGCAAGGTCTCATAGGCCTCTTTGAATTGCACACGCAGCTCTTCCCGATCCAGGACCAACTCCTTCAGCTCGTCCACACTCCGCGCGTCCAAAAGCATCCCAGTTACCTTGCAGATATAATCCTTCGGAGCTTGAATTTCTTGCAGCATCCGGCAGATCTTCTCGCCGTATAACTGCTTATTTTGTCCTTCCTCCCATTGTTCTGGACTGATCCAGTCATTTGCAGACCATCCATAACATCGCCATTCAGACTCACCTTCCCAGTCCCATTGACCAGGCGTGTCTGTACTTTGGTCCCATTGGCCATACTACCACGAGCCATGCTCCCAGTGATCTCGCTTTTCGCGCTTCCATTTGCGCAAGCTTGAAGAGGCTTCATCACCATTGTCCGACTCCAACTCCAAGTCATCCGATTCCAAGATCAAGGTACCATCCGGCTCAACCTTTTCCACAAGCGTCCGCACAGTGTCCCCAAAACGAAACTGTGACTTTTTGTCGTCTCCAGCAGGTATCAGAACTCTAATGCCGCCCATGTCCAGCCACACCCCCTCGGCGTCGATACAGTTGACGTCCCTAACACTGAATCACCTGCCTGAAAACAACGCGCTAAATCCAGATCAGGAGCCTCCTCATTGGGCTGCCCTTCCATTGGCTCATGTCAGGCAAACTACCAGTGCATGCAACCGCTACAAAAGTGTCCTTTTATCTCCAGGAACGCAGACTCTTTGACGACGACTTGGGCAGAACCATCCCCACATGTAGAACTGTCCCCCAATCTTCCCTTGTTTCCAGGAAGCACTTCCTTGTCGCCAGATCCATCATTCCTCGCCGAGACCTCTGTACTTGCAGCACCAAAACTTCCGTCATTGAGAACCTTTTTGTCCAGAACCACAGTTTCCACCGCCGCGCCACCCTCAGAAAGTCCACTCCCATTGGCCTCCCGATCCAGGTGCTCACCGGCCATCTCTCGCTGTGTTCCAGAACTACCCTTATCCCTTGGGGAACCCGGGGTTATCGGGGTAACCTTTTCAACACCCCCCAAACCGCTATCCCCAATGATGGAGGCATTTTCTTCTCCACCTAAAACTGTGCTACCCTGAAACGCCCTTGTGGACTCAGAAGACGGTGTTGATGCTGTAGGCTCCAGTTCCAGTCCAGCTGCAGGATCATTGTTCCGCTCAGCCCCAGTTCCAGAAACACCATAACCACTACTTCCAACCATCTTCCCAGTAGCTATTGAAACTTTTTGTGGATCTTCCCACTGAGATACCATAGTCTTCAGGTTGTAGTAGTAAGGTCGCCCATCTTCCGAAAAATGCTCCTCCCATTCAGAGTCTCCCGGCTCCACCCCCCTTTGCAGAAAGGCACCAGTTGCTAGCTGCAAGGCCTCCAGCTGATCAATCTCTTCCTCCTCCTCAGCCTGGACGATAGCCTGCAACTCCAGAATCTCATCAGGATGCATTTCAGAACTGACTGGGGGTTCCTGTGCACTTGCACCCGAAGAACCAGATCCAGTCCCCTGGCCAACCCCTTTTCCACAACCCAGCTTGTCGGAGATCTTATTTCTCTTCTCCGGTACGATCATTTCTCCAGTCAACTCTGTTTGTGTTTCCTGGCTGACTAAATTTCGACCAGAAGACGATGACGAAGTCGCCATAACCCCATGCTTGCGCATCACCTGCACCATGGCCCTTTCCAGCTCTATATCCACACCGCCAGTTTCATCCCAGGGTCGTTTCTCCCCGGCCTTTGGCCATGCAGAATTTCTTCGCCTAACACCTTCAGCGTCGCTCGTCATATCCACATTGGGAACCATACCCTCATTGGGGATTTCAGCAACCACTCCTGCGTTCAGCCTTTCGCCAGCTCCGCCAGGCAACCTTGTTTCCAGCGGCGCCTCCTCAGAACGAGAGCCAGTTGCCTCCATGTCAGCTCCTCCCTCTCCAGCGCCATCCGCACGAGATTGGAGCCATCTTTTGGGCGAGGGGACTGCCTCTTTTAACCCAGCCCTGAATTTCACAAAACACCGCAGGGACCCTAGTTTGGGCTCATAACCTACGGGGGGACAACCAAAGGGGGAAAGGAAACCAGAAAATCAACCCCAATAATTGTCCTGAATTTATATCCCCCAGAACGAACCAAACCAAGACAGCGTTAAGGTTATTCAGGCACACCAAGGAGGAGGAGGGGCTTACCTTCAACCCAACCCCCAAACCCCAGCTCACACACCTTTTGAACGGACAGCAAGAGGCCATCCTCTTGCCAACGTATTACGGGGCACATTGACCCTTGCAACTTCAAACCTGAAGTTCCTTTTGAACCTCCGCATAGGGTTTAGGGTTTAGGGTTTAGGGTTTAGGGTTTAGGGTTTAGGGTTTAGGATTTAGGGTTTAGGGTTTAGGGTTTAGGGTCTAGGGTTTAGGATTTAAGATTTAGAGTTTTGAGTTTAGGGTTTCGAGTTGAAGGTTTGTGGGTTTCGGGTTTAGGGTTTAGCGTTTAGGGTCTAAAGTTTAGCGTTTAGGGTTTAGAGGTTTAGGGTTTAGAGGTTTAGGGTTCAGGGTTGAGGGTTTAGCATTCAAGGTTTAGAGGTTAAGGTTAAGGGTTTAGGCTTTCTGGTTGAGAGCTTTGGGTTTAGGGCTTTAGGGTTCAGGGGTGTGGGTTGGGTTGTGGGCTTAGGGTTTAGGGTTTAGGGGCTAGGGTTTAGAGGGTTTTCGGTTTAGGCTGTTAAGGTGTTGCGGTTCAAGATTTAGGGTTTAAGGTTTAGGGTTGTAGGTTGTGTGTTGTGGGCTTAAGGTTTAGGCGTTTGGATCTAGGGCTCAGGGTTTAGGAATTAGGCCTTTAGGCCTTTAGGGATTGTGGTAGTACAATTTGAGGTGTAGCGTTTAGGGCGTTTAGAGAGTTTTAGGGGAATTAGGGTTTAGGTTTTGGGCTTTAAGGTTTAGGGTTCAGGCTTTATTCCTCCCAGTCATTTAGGGTTTAGGGTTTAGGCTTTAGGCTTTAAGGTTTAGGGTTCAGGCTTTAGGGCTTAGGGTTTAGGGTTTAGCGTTTTGGGGTTTAAGATTGGCCTCTGAACCATAAACAGAAGGAAGGCTTTAAAGGGTTTAGGGTTTAGGGTTTAGGGTTTGGGGTTAGGGGTTAGGGGTTAGGGGTTAATTAGGGTTTAGGGTTTAGGGGTAGGGTTTCGGTTGGCAAAAGTCCACACATTGCGAGCGGGGCGGAGGCGGCCACGCCGAGGTGCTCTTGTAGCTTTACCTAACAATCAGGATTTAGGGTTTAGGGTTTAGGGTTTAGGGGTTAGGGTTTAGGGCTTAGGGCTTAGGGTTTTAGGGTTTGGGGTTTCGGGTTTAGGCAAAACACCTCAACCCAAAACCCACAAGCCTAGACTACCCTAAACCCCAAAGAAACCGAAACCCTAAACCTTAAAGTCTATAAACCCTGAACCTTAATGTCTACAAACCCCGAACAAACCTAAACCCTAAGCTCTAAACCTTAAAGTCTATAAACCCTGAACCTAAACCCCAAACAAGCCTAAACCCTAAACCTTAAACCCTAAACCCTAAACCCTAAACCTAAACCTTAAACCTTAAAGTCTATAAACCCTGAACCCTAAACCTTAAACCTTAAACCTTACAGTAAGTCTATAAATCTTGATGGCCCTGCCATCGTGGTCCCACTCCCCAAACAAACCTAAACAAACCTTCAACCCCAAACAAACCTAAACGCTAGACCCTAAGTCCTACCGAAACCCTAAACCCTAAACCCTAGACCTTAAAGTCTATAAATCCCTAAACCCTAAAATCCAAAAACAAACTAAACCCTGTTAAAATCCTTAACCCTCTTCAAACCCTAAACCTTAAAGTCTATAAACCCCTAAACCTTAAACCCTAAGCCCTAAACCGTAAAGTCTCTAAACTCTAAACCTTAAAGTCTAGAAACCCCTAAACCTTAAAATGCTTGCTTTCCTCCTGGTCACGCAAGCTTCGCCTCCAGACGCCACAAGTTCGGGGAGCTTCCGCAAGGACTCCTTCAAAAAAACAGTACAGTAAGAAG